GCCGCCCACGCCATTCCCACCCGCCGCGCCCACGCCAGCGCCCGTGCCCGCCATGCTAGCACCCAACCCCGCCCGCCCTGCATCGTCCCTCGCCGCCAGCCCGTTTTCCGCGAACGCGCCAGGTTGACTCGCGGCGGCGTCTTTCCTGTACGCCGCTTCCTGCGCTCGTAACGCATCGGCCGGATTCGACGAGTTCGACGCTCCTAGGTGCAAATCCCCCCATCCGACGGTCCCCACGGCATCGGGCCTGGACGGCTGGCTGAGATCGTGGAACTGCGTGGCGTATTCGTACTCCGCATCCTCGCCTTGCGTCGAGAACTCCAGGAAACGCAGCGGATCGCCGCCCCCTCGCCCTTGAGTGGAATCGCGCTCCCCGTACAGTCCCTGTGAGTGCATCGGCTCCTGCGACAACGGCTCGGCCATGGTGCGTTGGATTCGCTGAAAGCCACCAGGTGGCTATGAACCAACGTGATGCGAGAGAATAGCCGTCTCTGGAAACAATACGCCAATTCTGTACGAGTCGAGGATCCTTAGAAAAGTACTTCAAACACGGGAATTCGCTCGCAACAGAGGCGTCTCGCGTACGCAAGTCGTAAGTTCCACGCCTGCAAGCTCGAAACCCTAGATCCCGAATGTGTTGGAGCGAGGCTGACTGAGAGGTACTCCTATCACAAACAATTCTGATGAGACCCCCATTTGTGGTCGAGATGAATCTGGCGGTCCCACTCCGTAGGGGAGAATCAGGCAATTGACCATGCTGTCCCATGCTGACCGACTTCTAGTTTTCTACAGAGCAGAGTAGCCTTAGAACTTAATCGGTGAACAAAAATCAGAATCATTGGCCATAATAAAGCAGTCAGCATATAAATAACAGCACTTATTTACAAAAACACCCTGAGCATGTGGCAGTAATCAAAGGTAGAGCATTATAATAACAGACGCTACTGGAAGTTTGAGAGAAGATGCTGGAAAGGTGAGAAGGGGCTGTGAGTGAATGTGTCAGATGTGATTAGTTGCAGTCGTGTATGCCCTGACCGCTTCCACAATGGGTGCACGGCACATGGGACAGTTTTGGTCCCTCCTCTTGAGCTCATTTGCGCAGTCCACGCAAGCACACATGTGACCACACCTGCAACAAAAAATCAATGGCAGTTTTCAGCCAGTGGCACACAGATCCAAAATCGCATGTGTCATAACTCAGCCACTAACCACTGAGTTAAAAGGGCTTGTTAATAGCGGGTCAGTGTGCCCATAGCCTCCCAGGCTCTGCACCTGTGGCCCTTCCCCGAGAATCTTCTCAAGGGTAACCCCAGCGGGTCTCTCGACACCCCCCCTCGCTGGGATAGGCGGAGGACACGAGCGCCTCTGTAGCGCTAGCAATGGGAATTGAACCCGAGTCACCATCGCTCTGATAGCATGTCAGAACTGCATGAGCACTATCGAATATGCTCCGTGCATGAAAGCAAAGATGAAGCTGGGAGCAACGATGAGGTTGGGTCATACCGATAGAGCAAGCAGTCGATGGGCTTGTCGCAGCAGACACAGCATGTGCCAGAGCGGATGAGAGCCCACTTGTGTCCGTCCAATGCCTCCTGAGGCACACCTGTGCAGCATAGGCATGACAGGCATCAAGAATAGGGGCAACTGAGCTGCTGGAATACCCGTCTCGCTAGTGTCCATGGAGCCATCAGGCAAGGCAGAAAGCAGGGTGAATGGATGACCCCGGCAGTGCAAGCACTAATATGCAAAGAACGGGTGAAAGCAGAGGGAGGACTTCCTGCTTGTTGCGGCCATGGGTTGCAGTGCGTACCTCGGCCAGCGTCATAGACGCGCTGCAGAGCCCCTGCTAGCTCCTGGCGCTGTGCACGCTGCAGCTCGGACATCATGGAGAGGCACACCTCCATGGCCTGCTCCACGCGCCTCACCTGCTCCTGCATCCTCGCCTCCATGCCCCGCACCTCATCCCGCACCTCCAACCACCCCTGTGCCACGGGACACAGCACAGAGACACACAGTGGAGACAGATGGGCATGGTGGCACGTGCAGAGCTATAGAGGCAAATGCGAGGGGAAACTAACAGACACACATGACATAAGAGAAATAAACAGTGCGAGTGTAGCCAGAGCATGGTGGTGTGGCTCACATGGTCCATGTAGCGCTGTGCATGCTGCTGGTTGAACCCTGAACCAAATGCGCGTCCTCCTCGCCATCCTACGTCCCCACCCATGGGCACGGCCTCATGGGCTTGGAGGGGCATTTGCCAGCGACGTGCCTGAGGAGGTGGGGGAGGAGTAGGCGGCTGGCGAGCTGCAGCTGCATCACCTGGCCCTTCCAGCTCCAGGCCGTCACTCCCATCAACATCACTCAGTTCTCCATTCAGCTCCTCCTCCTCCTGCTCTTGTACCTGCTGCTGCTGCTGCTGACGCTGTTGCTGCTGAAGCCTCTGCTGCTGGCGGCGTTGCAGGGGCGGTGGAAGGGCGGCGGCAGAGGGCATGACGCCGGCAGCAGCAACAGGCCCTCGCAGCGTGATGAAGGAGTGGATGAGGTGCTCCAGGCGGTGCCGGAACTCCGATGTCAGCACCGTCGTCACACTGCGCCTGTGGGCAGGAACACGGGAGACGCATGAGAGGGAGCCGGAGAGCGAGAGAGGGAGGAGGGGGCGGAGGGGAGAGGGGGGGGTGGGGGGTTTGGGGGTTTGTTTGGAGGAGAGATTGCATACAAGGGTTGCAAGTGAGGGAGCCAAGCTACAAGACAGCTGAGGCAGTGCAATGCTTACCGGCTGAGCAGCTCCTGCAGCTCCTCGTTGTACTCTGGGAGGGGAGGCGCGCCAAAGGGACGAGGAGGAGAGGGAGCAGGGGGCAGCAGACGAGGCCCCCTGCCAGGAGCCCGAGCATGGGGCAGCGCCGTTGGTCGAGGGGGCAGCGGAAGGGGTGCAGGAGGTGGCAGGGTGGCGCGATGAGGGGGAGGAACACCGGCACGCGTGACATGAACGGGTGCAACAGGAGTGCCCCTGGCAGGAGGCGAGGGTGCCCCCGGGGCGTGTCCCTGTGGAGGCCTTTGAAAGCCCCGAGCAGGTGTGCCCAGCTGCGGCCCCTGCTGCTGTGCACGATTCCGCCAGTGCCGCTGGTGCTGGTGCTGGAAGCCCCTCTCCCATGCACGTGCTGGGCCGAGAGCAATGAGGTTCTCCAAGTTGGATCGGAACTGGGACCTGGCCAAGGCGGCAATGCAAGCGCCAGTGCAGGGGGAGCAGTAAGGAATGTGCAGCGGATGTTGCCTGGTAATGCAAAGCACTGAAAAATAAGCACCCTTAGAATCAGTCTCCTGCGTTCAGGATACTCACTCGATCCCAGAAACAAATCTGTGAGTTCGCAGCAGTCCTATTTCCTCCTGAACCTCCGTCAACTGTGCCCCCGTCCCTGCTGCCCTCTCCCCTGCAGCGGAGGGCAAGTCTGGCAGCATGTTCCGGCGCTGCATCCACGCCTGGAGGGAGCGGAGGAAGGAGAAACACGTGAGGATGGAGTGGGGGGCATGCACGGCTAGGGCGACGGCAAGCTAGAGGATTAACGAGTGAAGGTACTGAAGTGTGCCGGTGTACAGGTGCCAGTTGTGTGCTGCTAACGAGAGACCTGAATGCGGTGGCGTGAGGACGACTCGGTGACAGCCCTGAAGGAGAGCAGGGCTGCTAGCTCCCGCTGCCGCTCCCGCTCCACGCGCAGCAGCAGCTGCATCAGATGCGTCTCCCCGTCCACCGCATCCAACACCTGCTGCTGCTCATGCACAGTGAGGCGCGAGAAAAAGAATAGCGGTTTATGATGAAGGCAAGATAGACAGCAGGAGTGCAACGGAGAAAACAGAGCATTGTGCGACCTTGCTACGGTATCCACGCACCTCCATAGCGGTGTCAGCACCCATGGCAGTGCTGGGTTGCGCAGCCACGGTGGGTGCGAGGGGCGGTGGGGCTCGTGGTGACGGTTGGGAGGATGAGCGGTTGCTGCTGCTCGGCGATGCAGACAGGTACCCTGGCGACCGCCCGCGCACTGACCCCCGGGAATCCGTACTTGCCACCACTTCAACCCCTTCCATTGCATCTGACCCTCCCCCCTGCACTCCCCCACTGCTCTGCTCCTCATCACGTGTCCCCTCGCCTTCCTGCACTTCCTCAGAGCTTCCTATCAACTCGTCCGCGCTATAAGCACCAGGCTCAAGAAGCGGCGAGAGCATCACGTCCGGCATGTCTCCATCCATCTGCCGCCACGTGTTTCCCACGGACGCGTCCCTGCCGCCAGGCGCCGCATAGCTTGCCGTGTCCTGAGGAGGGGAGTGAGAGGCGAGGGGCGGCGAGGAGAGGAAGGCGTCATCGAGCAAGCTGACGGCATGCAGCCCTGCCAGTCGCTCCAGCGACAGCCGTATCGCCTCCGCGTCCACCTGCTGCTCCTCCCACCGCTGCTGCGCGAGAGCCATATCCTCTTGTGTGGGGGACGACGACCCATCCGCGCTCGCTGTCGCGCTGCCATTCACCACAGCCACAGCGGCGGCGGTGGCTGCTGCAGCCGCAGCGGCCGCGGCTGCGGCGGCAACTTCTTCGACTGTTGGTGCGACGGCGGTGACAGCGGCTGTGGCGGGCGTGGAAGTGGATGCGAAGACATGGCCGTCGCCGTCAGTGTGAGAGGCATCACGAAACAGAGATGGCAAGGAAGCACCATCCATCGCCATGGCAGCACCACCGCACAGGGCGGCGACGCAACAGGTGCTACCAGCGCCATCAGATGCCGTTCCACTGGTACCAACGCCCCCGACGCTGCTGCCGATGGCCGACTCGGGGGAGCTGACAGCACTGACAGACGAGACACTGCTATGAGATGGACCCTCGGTGGCTGGTGGGTGGCTTAAATATGGATGGTGATGGTGAGCGGCTGTGCCGCAGCTGGCAAGGGTGAGACACGTGTTGAGATGGTCCTGAATCAGCTCCTCGAGACCCCTACCGCATGAGAAGACACGCCGCGCCCAGAGGGGTGGTCGCGATTAGAATTACAAAATGAGACGAGATTCAAGGAGGAAGCAACAAGGTGCCACGAACGGGGGTCAGATGGAAGGACAGAATGAGGCAGAATCGAAGGGTAAGAGAGAGAGCACAGCACGCGAGCCCACCTCCGGAACTCGGCATCCGCGTTGGACACGGCGTGAGCTTCGGACAGCCGCATGAGGTCCTGCTTCTGCTGAATCTGCTGCAACTGCAGCAACTCGGCCAGCTGCCTGTCTGCCTCTGCAATCGCCGCCTCCATGATATTTTGAGGGCTGGAATGCGTCGCTGAAGAGCCCAAGATGCGGCTTTTGGAGGCTGGTTCGGGTTAGGAAGCTTGGGAAAGTGGAGCTTGGGAATGTGCCGCAAGTGTGAGACCTGTTGGCAGGAGTACTGAGCTAGGTGAGAGCTGTTACTGCGACTGCGTCAGGTCGACTTCTTGAAATGGAGTTCGCAACTGCAATCGAACTGCCCTGCTTTCGCTCATCTGCCCCGCAGAAGGCATCACCCCAAAGGAAGTGCCAGTGCCGTGCACTTCAGAACTACGAAACTTCACAGGCCCAACCTGGGTTCCCGGTAGGCGGTGCTGAAGACAAGTGTGGTGCAAGGGTCGTATGAGTTGGCGTGAATACCAAACCTGTTGGCGCTTCAGCTGAACCCAGATTCCATTCATTAGAAGATCAGCTGATTGGCCTGAATTAGAGGGGGTTGTTCTGATTGGCTGCCGAACCAATCCGACCATACCAGACGGGAAAACCCGGGCATGCCCGAACCCGAAGAAGAATCAATTGAAACTAGACCTTTCACCCCAGACAGAAGTATTTTTGTATTAGCAGGTCCGATTTTGACCTGCATTGACAATGCCAAAAATATCAACATGATGGCAATCCTTTAGGCGCCATGTTTCTACTATCACTAAACAACAGCTCAAACATAGCCTTCCCCCTTGACATTTAGGGTGAACCATTTATTATAGCGCATATCTTGTATTGTATCTGTTGGGCTGAGAAAAGCCCTTAGGATCTTTCCAGAGACTAAGTCCCAGTTGAAGAATGAGACTTGAGTAGTGCAGCGGAAGTTGTGTAGTTGAACCCTTGTACTAGTATATGAGAACAAGTGATTGATTAAAGAAACAAGCATACAGCAATATATAGAAAATAGGAAAGTAAAGCAGTTGTAGAATACAGTTGCAGGAGCGGTTATCGAGTCGCACAGCTACTCGATTGTCGCTTCGGTTACCATCCGCGCTGTTGTAACGGTCAGTCGCAACCTCCAGTTGCGACCCTTCGAGTCCCTTCGCGTTCTTTGTCCGCCCCCTCGTAACCTCCGTTGACTCGCGTACCCGTTGTGATCTTCCTCGAGTGCAGTGTTACACTTCAGAAACGCTTAAGTCCTTTGAGATATTTCCAAGACTCCCCTTCGTTTCTGGAGTGCTGACGTGTTCAGATCCGGTGACGTTTGTCAGCCCGGTCAGCAGCATACAGTAATCAAACTTCGCCTTCGCCAGTTTCTTCGTCAGGTAGTCTGCGGCCATTTCTGTTGTAGGGCAGTAACTGAGTTGAAGTCTCCCCTTCGCGATTTCATCCTTGACGAAGAAGTACCGCAGGGCGTTGTGTTTGGTTCGGTTGGCGAAGCCGTCCTTGTTCGCGATTTTGATCGCAGATTGGTTGTCGCAGAGGAGTGAGAAGACGGGCAGGGTCGCAATCTTCGCTTCCTCTAGCAGCTCTCGTAGGTAGAGTCCTTCCTTGGTCGCAGTACAGAGGGCGATATATTCTACTTCAGCCGAGGATAGTGCGATTAGTTCCTGCTTGCTCGACAGCCAGGAGATAGTCCCGATAGGTTCTAGTCGGTAGATGTAGCCCGTTCTTGATCGTCGATTTTCCTTGTCTCCCGCGTGGTCGGCGTCGACGTATCCGAGTAGTCGTACGGACGGTGTCGTTACTTTGCTGTAGGTGAGCCCGGTCGTCGGCGTGGAGACGAAGTAGTGTAGTGCCCGATTAAGTTCCTCGAGATCTTCTTGTTCCGGCTGCTTCAGATGCGTCCCCAGTTGGCTCACGCTGTAAGAGAGATCGGGTCGGCAGCTTACTGCTGCGAATAGTAGGCAGTCGAGCTTCTGCTGATAATCTTGGATTTGCTTTGCGGGGAGTTTTGCGGAGGTGCTGTTGTTGTTCCCGTAGCGGTAGGGAGTTGGGACCGTAGTCGGCGTTAGACCGAATTTCTTCGCGACAGTGCCTGCGTACTTTCCAGCGTGTAGGTAAAATGCCGAGTTGTCTTCGACGACATTCAGTCCCAGGTACTGGGTCACTGTGTCTGACACTGTGAGTGTCAGGTCACTTCTCAGCTCCCCTTCGAACCAGATGGCGATGTCGGTAGAGGAGCCGATGTAGAGCAGGTCGTCGACGTAGACGATGAGAAGGATAAAGGCTTTTTCTTTCTGAAGTCGATACATGCCTTGGTCGTGCGGCAGCTGTAGGAAGCCGATTCTGACGAGGCGGCCGTGAAGATGCTGTTGCCACAGCCGCGGAGCTTGTTTGATCCCGTAGAGGGATTTTATCAGCTGGCATACTTTCGTAGGGTCGTCGATGAATCCGTGGGGCTGCTCGACGAAGATGTCGGCGTCCACAGGTGCGTACAGGAAAGCGTTTGCGACGTCGATTTGATGCAGTGGTAGTTTCTTCGTGGCCGCGACGGTGAGTAGGACGCGCAGGGAGGTGTGACGGGAGACTGGGGCAAAAGTTTCTGTGTAGTCAGTTCCGTATCGTTGATCGAAGCCTCGTACGACCCATCGAGCTTTGAATCGTTCGATGGAGCCGTCCGCGTTGGTCTTGATGCGGTACACCCATTTTCCCGAGAGGACGTTCTTCCCGTTGATGCTTGTTGCAGGTACCAGCTTCCATGTATTTCGGTCTTGCAGAGCCTTTAGTTCCCTTTCCATCGCCTCCTTCCATTTCGTCTTATGTTCCCCCCCCAGAGCCTGCGACAGAGTCGAGGGCTCGCGCCGAGATGGCGGCGGTGGATGCTGGACGGAGACCCATAGGCCGAGGATCTGCAGTCCCGTGGGTGTGTGTCGAGGGGAATTTTCATTCCCGGAATAGGCTGCTTCGTCACTGTCTTCTTGATCAGGTAAGAAGTAGGGGCCGATGCATTCTGAAACATTTGTGTCGACCGGGTGGGGTGTAGTGTAACCTTGGTCAGCGAAGTGGTAAAAGGTGTCGAGGTTGTTACTATCGAGAGGATTGTCTTCGTCGAGTGGAACAGGTACGGAACAGAAAGGGAGTGGTCCGGCAGCTTCCGAGGCTCCAGGTACGTCTTCTTCTGCTGCGTCAGCCTCGGCAGCACGGTCGGCGAAGGAACGAAGGCCCGCGAAGCCGTCGGTGGGGTCGTGTGTGTTGGCAATGTTGTCCAGGTAATGCTGCAGCGTCAGTCGCTCGTAGAAGATAACATCACGTGATGCCACTGTATTTTTGTCTTGTATGTCGAGGATTTTCCATGTGTGAAAATGTTTTGCGATGCCGAGGTGTAGTCCCCACCGAGCTCGTTGAGTGAAGCGTCCTGCTCGGGCTGTGTGAGGTCTGTACTGTACCATGCAGCCGAAAACTCGAAGTAATTTTGTGCTCCCCCTTTTTTGTGTCCATAGCAGGTGCGGTGATGCGTTGTTGGGAAGCGATGACGAGGACAGCAGGTTGTGCAGGTGGACTGCATGTGTCATCGCGTCTGGCCACAGTGTGGTGGGCAGTCTCATCCCAGGAGCAACTTTCGCATCGTCGTCTGCAAGGTCCGGTTCATGCGTTCTGCGACCCCCTGCTGTTGGTGAGCGTAGGGCAGAGACACCAGGCGTCTGATTCCTCTTTCCGCCAGATAGGTCCTGAAGCGTTGTGACTGGTATTCCAGTGCACCGTCTGACTGGAAGCTCTTGAGCTTGGTGCCTGATTCTCGTTCGGCGATGGGAAGCCATGTCGTGAAGGCGTCGAAGGCTTGGTTGTGTTGTGTGATGTCATCATATGCTATCACATTCTGTCTGCCTCCCATCCCATGTTTTTTCAACTTGCATGTGTGGTTTGAATGTGCAAGCATTTGTGTGTGGTGTGTTCTGGAGTTTGGGAATGTGTTTTGTGTTATTCTGTCTGAGCAGGTATTTGTGATAATAGATCTTGAGAAGATCTTTCCGACGCAACAAGAATCGCTTCAATCGGAGCAAGAACGCGAAAGCTATGAAGATTCAAAGTTCATGAGCTTGCGTTACAATTGCGGCGGTTACTAAGTGAAGTTGTGGGGTGACTTTATATGGAGTTGGGACCTTTGGGGTTGGGGAAACTTGTCACTCTACTGTAACAGCTGCAAATTGGTTGGGAACAACCAAGCTAGGTTGGCAAGGGTGGCCAACTTGGATGGATTGGTTGGGAAGGGACAAATGTCAAAGTTGGGGTTCCTATAGGGAGGGAATCTTTGTGCTTATGGGTTTTCCTTGGTTGGGGACTCTCTTGGGACCTTCCCTCTCATCCCTCTCTTCCTATCCCAACCTTTCTCTTGCTCCTTCTAATTCCTTGTGAGATTCTTGAACTTTGATTGAACCTTTGAGATTGAGTTAAGTTCTCCTCCTACAGCTTACCCCCTAATGCGTCGAAAGCCATAGCGTCGCGAATACTTCATCAATCAACGTGATTCAAATTGGGAACGGTAGCTGAGATTAAGAGCTACAACATATCCAAGTTTCGCGACATTCCAACGGCTAGTTTTTCGTCGACGTCGTTTCTTGTAAAGACGACTTTTCTGTCCAGAATTTCGGATTTATATTTTGAGTAATTCTAGCTCCTAAGTTCACCTAGACTCCGTCCTTAATCCTAACAAGTGGTATCAGAGCAATATTAAGGACATTGAGAGGAGTCTACAGAAGTTTGAAGACCCTTCTAGACCCACCATGGCCTGTGGGTGTGCCTAAGTGGTGTTCTAAAGGTTGGATGTGTCTTCCGCTAAGGGGAAACTCTGCCGAAATTTCGTGGACGCCGACACTTGTGAAAATATCGAGGGAGCTGAGTGTGGACAGCAAAGGGGAGCTGAAATTCGTCATTTCTCAAGGAGAAGATGAATGAGAGAGGAGGAGATGCTAATGGAAGAGGAGCTGTACCTGAGAAGACAAGTGAGCCGCCGCCATCAAAAGTTGAAGCTTTGGATGGCTCCAACTATGAGGAATGGAGCGGACGGATGAGGAGTGCCTTCAAACGCTACAAGCTACTGAAGATTGCTGTTGGGGAAGAGAAGATGCCGGAAGAAGGCGAAGCACGTGAACGGTGGATTGAGAAAAGCGCGGTGCTTTTCGACCTCATTCTTCAATCGGTCAACAAGGAGATGTTCGAGCACATCAAGGATCTTGTGGAAGCGGATGATTCGGGTCCAAGGGCGTGGAAACTACTACGTGATGTGGTTCAGCCCAACACTCTCCTGATG